AGAAATTGCCCAATCATAATTGGTGCACAGTACACACCAACCGACCAATTTTTCCAAACTCCTAGCCCCTATGACCAACAAAAATAACCAAGAAGCTTGAATCAATGCGATATTCCAATGCAGAGCCCAAAAAATTGAGGTACCCCTAGAAATCAAGGTGTCCCGATGATTTTGTCAACTAACAATATATGCATGCATGGGCTGGTTAGGGTATATTTGTTAGCATATCCTAGCTAGGTCTGTTCTTAGAGAGGATAACAATCTGTACTTGTATCTCCTTTCCCCTCTTCCTGGTCCAACTTTTCTTGCTACCGTAATCCCCCGTATATAACACCCGCCGAAATAGTCACTCCATGGGTGTTTAATACGGGGGGGAGCTTATGATACGGTGCATTTTTTAGAGTACCCGTTTTTCTGACGTTGAATTTTACATGACGCCCTCCTCGTTTTCTTCGTTTTAAAACGGTATTTGTCCTTGTATTTCAAGGCCCACACATGTGCAAAAACCGAGCAGGATGAAATCGCGCATCAACAACCATTAGCACTGGGAATCGAATTGTGGGGAATGAGTGAGGAATCGAACTGTGGGGGAAGGGGGAGTCGAAATTATGGGGGGAAGGGGGATTCGAAATTGTCAGGGGAAAGGGGAATCGAAATTGTGGGTGAAGGGGGAATCGAAATTGTGGGGAGAAGGGGGATTCGAAATTGTCAGGGGAAGGGGGAATCGAAATTGTGGGTGAAGGGGGAATCGAAATTGTGGGGGAAGGGGGATTCAAAATTGTCACGGGGAGGGGGAATCGAAATTGTGGGTGAAGGGGGAATCGAAATTGTTGGGGAAGGGGGGGAACTGAAACCGTTGGGCCAGGGGGTTACGATATCATGGGGGAGACGGGAAAATACATTTTCATGCCTCGTTAGCAGCTGCTCCGCACCCTTATGAGCAAATAGGGCCTGGAACACTCACATTCATTTTGCATTTTTCATAACACATGGGCGTTGTATTTTTCCGGGCCACTGTTAACACCCACTCGTTTTTTTTAGTGAATTTTTGTATGCACTATATGATGTTATATACGGGGGATTACGGTATCTCAACATGGCATCCAAAGCTAGGTTAGGTTCCTCCTACTCATGCCCGCCACCAGCGCTAGCAGCTAGTGCTAGCAGCCAGCGCCTGCCGTCGCCCGCCAGTCGCTGCTGCCAGTCGCCGCTGCCCGCTGCTGGCCACCAGCCGCTGCTGCCCACCGCTGCTGCCTGCTCGCCGCCAGCTAGTCGCCAGCAGCACCAGCTAGCTCGCTGCCAGTAGCGCTTGTCAGCTCGCCACTGGTAGTGCTTGCCAGCTAGCCGCCAGCAGCGCCTGCCGGCTAGCCACCAGCAGCATCGGCCAGCTTGCTGCCAGCAGCGCCTACCCGCCCGCCGCCAGCAGCGCCTACCAGCTAGTTGCCAGCAGCGCCTGCCAGCTCGCCACCAGCAGCGCCCGCCAGCTCGCCAACTAGCGCACTCGTCATCTCGCAAGCCTCTTTGCTCACTTACTCGCTCGCCAGCTCGCGGCTAGTGTGCCACCTCAATGCCTGCAGCTGCCAGCTCAAATGCACGTAAACTCGCTAGCTCACTGCCAGTTTGACAGCTCCCTGCAAGTTTGCGAGCTTGCCACCAGCTCGCCGTCAGCTAGCTGCCACAGCCGCTTTCCTGTCTCTCGCTACTACTGCCGTCCACCTGCCACTAGCCGACGATGCCAGACCGCCAATCCATCCACAGATGCCACTTCTGCTACCTCCGTTCGTGCTTTTGCAGCCCCTCGTGCCTCCCGCTAGTCTCCTTCTTGTTTCTAGATTTCCTCGACGCCTCTCCTCTCGGCATGGCGACCTCGGTGCAGTCAGTCCCTTAGCCAAGCCACTGGACAGTTCTCTTCACTCTGCAGCTTCTCGCTCACCGCCTACAGCTGGTGAGCCCGCACGTAGATTGCATGCTTGTGGAGGACCACCTCATTTTGCCCATTGGCTTCTGGCTTCATCAACTAGATGTACGCTACTGGGCTGCTTTTTCCTCGCAGCGACGGCAACAGCGGCCGCAGCAGCAGCAGCAGCGGCCGCAGCAACCACAGCAGCAGTGGCCGCAGCAGCAGCAGCAGCCACACTGGGTTCTTGGTGGTGTTAGGCACAATGGAGGCCCTAGAGGTGAGGCCCCGAGGCGGTCACTGCCCTGGGGCCAGCGTGGTTCTCTAGAGGGCCGGGGTTCTGGGGCCCAAGGGGACTAGGTCCCACTACTATGTCTAGTCTAGGAGCCTCTACTACATATCCCATTGGCTCCTCCCCTGCCCCTCCTACGATGGCCCTCTACTTTATACTTTAACTCTGGCGTGTCTCACTACTTCTTTCGAGACAGTACTGCTCTCACCTCGCTCCCTGCACTGATTCATATCGCATTGACAGACTCCCCCACCAGAGTAGTCACATGCACACAAATTAGTCACTCTCCCCCATCCAGCTGCCCCCTCTGGCTCCCTCACCGGTCTGCACATCCCCTCGTTTGCCAGGAACATAGTTGGTGTATGTCGCATCTAGGACTAAGGAGTCACCACCATGTTTCCTGGCTACGTAAGACACGCAAACTGTACAGACACAGCCACGGGTGGTCGTCTAGCCACTTTTACGCGTGACCCAACGTCCGGCCTCTTCACGCTGCACAATGAGTCCTCGCTGGTTGCTGTGTTTGCTGAGGTAGCCACGTCATCCTCGTGTCGCTCCCTTGCCCACCGCTTAGGTCATCCTGCACTCCCATGTCTTAGGCACATGTCCCAGCACGATCTACTTACTAGTCTTCCTGCGTTGCTCCCAGCCCTGCCTATGTCAGTAGCACCACTGTGCAGCTCCTGTATCGAGGGCCGGCAGCGCGCCTCCCCTCAAACCTCCTCGTTTCCTCTTACCATGGAACCGCTACAGACACTGTACATGGAAGTCTGGGGCCTTGCCCCGGTCCATGTTCTTAGTCGGGAGCGCTACCTCCTAGTCGTCGTTGACGACTTCTCGTGCTACACAACGCAGTTCCCACTGGAGCGGAAGGCAGGCGTGCCTACCATTCTCCTCCCGTGGCTGCTCGCCACTCGCACTCAGCACCGCCTGCCCATGGTTTGTTTTATACTCTGACCATAGTGGTTCACTTCTGGCCGCCTAGGACGATCATGTCGTTAGGAGGGCATCCGCCGGACGTACACAATGCCGGACTTCCCATAGTAGAATGGGGTCAATGAGCAACGCATCGGCCTGGCCATGGAGGTAGCTCGCCAACTTAACTTGTGGCCGCGCTCCCTGCGCCTACAAGTTTGCCGACCCTTCTTTGGACCACGTCTCCTAGTGTCGCTTATGCGTTCCACGTCTGGGGTAGCCTTGCTCACGTCCGCGCCTCCGGCGCGGACAAGCTCTCAGTCTGCACACTTCCATGTGACCTCCTTGGGTTTCCGCTTGACGCCCTTGACTGGCTCTTTTACCCCCCATATACCACTGCTTCTACCTCTCTCGTAAATTTACCTTCGACAAGACGCTCTCCTTCTATCGGCGCCTCCCTTACTGCAGCAGTGCTGCAAGGTCCTGCAGCGGACAGGGAGCCGCAGCAGCAGCAGCTGCAGCAGTGCTGCAAGGTCCTGCACCTGTGGAACATGGGCAAGGCAGCCCCAGACGTGGAACGTAGATGCGTCACCAGGAGACCCGGTCCAAAGGAGGGTCGGCAAAACCTGCGGTCGCTGAGGGTGCGGCCACAGGTTAAGCTAGTGAGCGGCAAAGCAAATGGCGAACGGCCACAGAAAATGGGGTGCACCGGCATGGATCATGGAGGTACGAGCCACCTCCATGACCAAACCGATACGTCGCTCTGCGACCCCATTCTGCTGCCGAGAGTCCGCCAGGGTGAACGTCTGGGTGATGCCCTCCGCATGACAGAAGCGACCAAGGCAGCCAGAGGCAAACTCGCCACCATGGTCCCGATGAAGACGCAGGACAGGGAAACCTCAAGGAACACGTGCAGTGACAAGCCACGGGATAAAAACGTCAGGCACGTCGCCCTTCCGCTCCAAGGGAAACACAATGGTTTAACGAGTGTAGTCGTCAACAAGGACGAGGAAGTAACGCTCACGACGCGGCCCACGGACACGGGGCCGGGTACAGGGCGGCCGCGGGGCCGACGACGAGACGAACCCGGGGCCGGCTTGGGGCGGACGCGAGGCCGGTTAGGGGCGAACGCGGGGCCGGTTAAGAGGTGGGTACGGGGCTGGCTACGGGGCGAACGCGGGGCCGGCGAGGAGGCAGGCACGAGGCCGGCTAAGGGAAGACCGCGGGGCCAGCTAGGGCCGGACGCGGGGCCGGCTAAGGGGCGAACGCGGGGCTGGCTAAGGGCGGACGCGGGGCCGGCTACGAGGCCGAGGGGCCGCTAGGGAACTGGGCCACGGGGCCGCTAGGGGACGGGGCCACTAGGGGACGGGGCCGCTAGGGAACGGGGCCGTGGGGCCGCTGGTCGACGGGGCCGAGGGGCCGCTAAGGGACGGGGCCGCGAGGCCACTGGTTGACAGGGCCGAGGGGCCGCTAGGGGACGGGGCCGCGGGGCCACTGGTCGACGGGGCCGAGGGGCCGCTAGGGGACGGGTCCGCGGGGCCACTGGTCGACGGGGCCGAGGGGCCGCTAGGGGACGGGGCCGCGGGGCCACTGGTCGACGGGGCCGAGGGGCAGCTAGGGTACGGAGCCACGGGGCCGCTAGGGGACGGGGTAGGCGAGGCGGCTAGGACCTAGGGCGGAAGCGCTGGTGGGCGGGAGGGACCTAACCTACTCGTGATACCATGTTAGAATGGAAGAGTGACTAGAATAGGAGGGTACAAGGAAATATAGGCAAGTGTGTTGTACCCTCTAAGGCACAAACCTGTATAGTCTACAGTAACATACTAAGTTATGTTTGACAATTATATGCGGGGGATTACGGTAGTAGTAGTGGGGTAGGACCGTCCTAACTCATGATGTGGAAGTTGACTTTGTAGTGCATGACACATTTTGAAATTGAGCAAAAACTGCCAGGAAAACCACTTAAAACTGAAGGGGGGGGGGGGGGGGGGTCCTTAAATGATTTACCCCAAACAGCGGGTCCTCACAATCCCTTTACAATGTTAAGACCCATGGTCCGGAAAAAAGACCCAGAGTCCCTTTTTCGGGGGGGTAATTATGCCGGGAGATTACGGTATGTACACACTGCAGCCAAGAGAGACCCTTGGATGGAGTACCCATTCACGCCCTGATGTGCACAGTGGCTGCCAGTGCACGGAGCACGGAGCACGGAGCATGGAGCATGGAGCATGGAGCACGGAGCATGGAGCGTGGAGTGTGGAGTGTGGAGCATGGAGCGTGGAGCAACTATTCCGCTGGGTGGTAACGGCAGATGCGCGACAGTGCTCGCACACTCCACACACTCCTCCCACTCCTCTCGCCCCTGCGCATCCCTATGCCTGCACCATTGCCACTGCTGCTGCTGCTGCTGCTGCTGCTGCTGCTACCACCGCTGGCACTGCTGGTTCCGCTGCTACTTGTCGCACTGCTGCCTCCTTCAGCCAGCCCTTCCTCCATCACATCACCTCTTCCCCCCTCACCCACCTCACCAGCATTCTCCTCCCCTTCTTCCTCCTCTTCATCAACATCTTCCTCTTCCTCCTCATCCCCGTCCTCCTCTGAGTCCTCCCACACCGAAGCTGCCCGCCAAGCCGGGAGAAACTCCTTGCCTCGGTGGATGGATGACAGCACGATGCCAAACCTGCCCACCTGCAATTAGCAAGGAGAATGGTATTATTGACATCTGAGAGCAAGGGCAAACAAAATCGAGTGAAGACATTGAGAATTAAACTTGCTATTTTCCCTTCCCATCTAACCTCGACCCACTGGTCCACTCCCCCCTCCCCTCTCCCCTCTCCCTTTCCCCTCTCCCCTCTCCCCTTCCCCCCCTCCCCCCCCTCGCCCATCCCCTCTACCCCCCCTCACCTGGTTCAGGTTCCTCAGGTCCGTGCCATGCCCCCCAAGCGAGCAGAACTTCCACCCAATGGACGCGCGACACCTGGCACATGCCACGTCAGCGACCTCCATGGCGCCCTGTGCGAGCTCCTCGGTGCGCGGCTTGGAGAGCAGGAAGGCACCTGCGTGCAGCGCGTTGCAGTAGACTGCTATCTCCGTGCCACTGCCTGCGTCCCAGCAGTGCCGAGCGCTCAGCACCTGACAGGTGGGGAGTGAAGGGGGTGGGGTGAGGGGGAGGGGGGGCGTGGGTGAAGAGGGCAAGTGGAGGAGAGGAAGGGAAGAAGGAAGGAGGCGACGAACGGTGTGTCCCACCTGCAATGCTCGTGAAAGCACCTCCAAGCACCTCAATCCATCCCATGTGCTCCCAGCAGCCTGCCCCAACATCCATCCCCAAGAGACCTTTCCTGCCTTTGCTGCCGTACCTGGTGTGACTGGAACAGCGGGTTGAGGCACGGCATCTTGCCCCCCGTGCCCCCACCCACATGCCCCCTGCGCCCAGAGCACAGCACCACCTGCCTGCCATCCCCCTCGCCTGATAACCCGTCTGCATACACGTGCACACGCCCCTGCACCCCTCCCACTGCCGCCACCGCTGCAGCTGCTGCTGCTGACGGTGCTGCTGCTTGCATTGGTACTGGTAGCAGTGCTGCTGCTCCCGGTAGTCCCGAGAACCTGCTGGGTCGCACCAGGTCGAGGTACTTGCGAACCAGGAACATCTTCGCCTCCGCTGCGTATAGGCCCTGCTGCTGCCCACCAACCCATGCCGCTCTGTCACCTACTACAAGTGCTCCTGCTGTGGCAACAGGATCGGCGAGCGGGGGAGGCGGAGCAGGTCTGGCGGGTGGAGGGGCTGCAAGGACGAGCGCGGCAGTGGGGGCACTAGGGGAGGATGGGGGGGGGAGGACGCGCGAGGAGAAGGTTGAGCCGGAGGAGGAAGGGGAGAGGAGGGGGAGGCGATCGCGAGTGAGGGAGGGGGGGAGGCGGATGGGGGTGAGGAGGGGGACGCGGCGAGGCGGGGGAAGACGGTGCGGACTTGGATGCCGAGGAAGAGGCGGCAGCGCACACAGTGCAGAGTGCTGGCGTCCATCAGGTGCGCGCATGCCCGCCCCGCTGCTGCCACGTGTTGATAAGAGATGGGAAGGGATGGGGAGGGGCAAAAAGGATGGACAAAAGTGGGAGGGAAGAGTTTTTCACAGGCACGCCACCACGGAGGACTGGGAAGGCGCTGGCGATGGCGCGGTGAGAGGTGGACGGGGACAGAGGAGGCGGGGAGCACGGTGAAGGGCTTACGGCGCGTTGGTTATGGACAAGTTTCAGGGGAGAACGAGGAGGGGCTTACAGAAGCGCGGCACGGCGATGAAGGGCACGTTGGAATGCACAGCGCGTATCGACCACTCCCCCTCCCTCTCCCCTACCTCCTCCCCCTGCACGCACGCCGCCGCGCCGTCGTCTAGCAGCAGCAGCGGCGGCACCCACGGCGCGCTTGTTGGCGGCGCTGCGCAGCCGTCAGATGGAGACGAGAGGGCGGCGGGAGATGCGCGGTTGCTGCTGCTGCGCAATGAGACGCCCGCGACGCTGGTAGGCCCGGCGGACGCGCGAAGGCGGGGAGGCGGAACGTTGCGCGGGCGGGGAGGGGCGGATGGCGGAGCGGATGAGGGAGCGGAGAGGAGAGGAGGGGGGCGGGTGGTGCAGGGGATGAGGACACGCGGGGAGAAGAGGCGGGCGCCGCACGCCTTGCAGGCGAACTCGCGGGCGATGAAAGGGCGCGCTATGGCGCGGAGGTCCTGGGGGGGATGGCGGAGCGGGTGATGGGGGGAGGCCGAGGCGGGGACAGCGTTGGGTGCTGAGAGGAGTGAATAAACCCGTGCCGCGAGGCGTGGGGGAGCGAACTGGCGGCAGAGTAAGCAATGTCACAATAGAGAGGGAGAGAGAGGCGCGGACGTGAGACGGAGGTAGGAGCGGCGAGGAGAAAGTGAGGCAGAAGAGGAGAGCAAGGAGTTTCCAGCCGCATTAGAGCCCATGCCGCGCCATGAGAATCCACAGGCCGCGCTGTGAAGGGCGAGCGGCGCGACGGGGGATTTCACGCGGGTGGGGGAAGAAAGGGCTCTCGTGATGCAGGATGAGCGAGGGGGGATTCGGCGAGCAAGAGCGGCGAAAATGATTTTTTTTTAGTGCAAGAAAAGATTGCGTGATGCACGAGCGGCGCACCTTGCAGGTGAGCGCAAAGGAGACAGCATCTTTGGGAGTGAGCGACGCGGCGATGAGCGACTTGGCGGTCTCTGGCAGCCACTGGAACTCGCGAAACTGCGGTGCGCCCTCGGCCGCCGCCATTGCCCGCTCAATGCGCGGGGCAGAGTTTGCTCGTATAGCGCCCGATGGAATACAGCGGTCAACAGAAAAAAAAAACACGAATTCAGGAGAATGGGAGAGGGAGAGGATGTGAAGGTGCCAGGTATTTGGGAGGTGGTGCCATGGGAGGGTGTGATGTGACAGCTGTGGCTGTGGCGAAGGTTCATTGGATGTGATGGCATCTACCTGTAGCGAGAACCCGTGTGAGTCCTTGCACCATCTTGTAACGCGTAACTCATGGAGCATGTTACCATGGTACCTTCTGTTATGAATGAATAACGAAGTGTTCAATCACTGAATGACGATACAAGGAATGGCAAGCCAAGTTATAGGAACACCAGAGGTAGTCTAACCATGCGATGGTAAGGTTCGGGAAAGAGATCGAAGGGTCTCGAAGTGACGAAGCGAGGCCCGGAGAACTCCCGAATGTCGAACTAGCAGGTCTGGAGAGGCCGAGGCGGTTCTGTCAGAAAGGTCTGGAACAGTCCGGAGGCCTCATAAGTGTTCGAGCGTACGCGGTAGCAGTACCGCTCGGTAAGGAATAGAAAATTCCTTACACCACCCCCCCCCCCTTAGCGAAGGTGATCTATATTAGTCACGTGCTTGCGGGCCAAATAATTCGCAAGTATCGGAGGTGACTGTATCTGGTCCGAGGGCACCCACGTGTCGTCCTCACTGGTACGATTAGTCCATCGTATCAGGAAATCCACGTGTCGTCCTTGGCCGCCGATACGAATCCGATGGCTCAAAATCTTCGAAGGCTCGATGGTCGTCTCGGCTGGTGGCCGTACATATGGGACCAATCGCTGTCGGGCGATATTCGACGTGTCAGGAACGAAGAGTCGCAACAGGCTCACGTGGAACTTGTTGTGAATACGCTGTTGGAAATATCTCAAGGAATTAAGCGTTTCTGAAGTATAGCATCACACTCGAGGAAGATCGTAACGAGTACGCGAGTCAACGGAGGTTACACGAGGGGATGGACAAAGAACACGAAAGGACTCGAAGGGTCGTAACCGGAGGTTGCGACTGACCGTTACAACAGCGCGGATGGTAACCGAAGCGACAATCGAGTTGCTGTGCGACTCGATAACCGCTCCTGCAACTGTATTCTACAACTGCTTTACTTTCCTATTCTCTATATATTGCTGTATGCTTGCTTCCTTAATTAATCACTTGTTCTCATATACCAGTACAAGGGTTCAACTGCCTCAACTTCCGCTGCACTACTCAAGTCTCATTCTACAACTGGGACTTAGTCTCTGGAAAGATCCTAAGGGCTTTTCTCAGCCCAACAAGCATCAACGGGAAGAATGTCCTCTCGGGAAAATGGGTGTACCGCATCAAGACCAATGCGGACGGTTCCACCGAACGATTCAAAGCTCGATGGGTCGTACGAGGGTTCGATCAACGATACGGAACCGACTACACAGAAACATTCGCCCCAGTCTCCCGTCACACCTCATTGCGCATCCTACTCGCCGTCGCAGCCACGAAGAAACTACCACTGCGCCAAATCGACGTCGCAAACGCTTTCCTGTACGCACCTGTGGACGCTGAGATCTTCGTCGAGCAACCCCACGGATTCATCGACGACCCCACGAAAGTATGCCAGCTGATAAAATCCCTATACGGGATCAAGCAAGCCCCGCGGCTCTGGCAGCAGCATCTTCACGGTCGCCTCGTAAAAATCGGATTCCTATAGCTGCCGCATGACCAAGGCATGTACCGACTGCAAAAGGGAAGAGAGTATATCCTACTCATCGTTTACGTCGACGACCTGCTCTACATCGGTTCCACTACCGACATCGCCACCTGGTTCGAAGGGGAGCTGAAAGAGGACTTGACACTCACGGTGTCCGACGCAGTGACCCAGTACCTGGGACTGAATGTCGTCGAAGACAACTCAGCGCTCTACCTACACGCTGGAAAGTACGCAGGCACTGTCGCGAAGAAATTTGGTCTAACGCCGACTACGGCCCCGACTCCCTACCGCTACGGGAACAACAACAGCACCTCCGCAAAACTCCCCGCGAAGCAAATCCAGGAGTATCAGCAGAAGCTCGGCTGCCTACTATTCGCAGCAGTAACCTGCCGACCCGATCTCTCTTATAGCGCGAGCCAACTGGCGACGCATCTGAAGCAGCCGGAACAAGAAGATCTCGAGGAACTTAATCGGGCACTACTCTACTTCGTCTCCACGCCGACGACCGGGCTCACCTACAGCAAAGTAACGACACCGTCCGCACGACTACTCGGATACGTCGACGCCGACCACGCGGGAGACAAGGAAAATCGACGATCGAGAACGGGCTACATCTACCGACTAGAACCTATCCGAACTATCTCCTGGCAGTCGAGCAAGCAGGAACTAATCGCACTATCTTCGGCTGAAGCAGAATATATCGCCCTCTGTACTGCGACCAAGGAAGGACTCTACCTACGAGAGCTGCTAGAGGAAGCGAAGATTGCGACCCTGCCCGTCTTCTCACTCCTCTGCGACAACCAATCAGCGATCAAAATCGCGAACAAGGACGGCTTCGCCAACCGAACCAAGCACATTGCCCTGCGGTACTTTTTCGTCAAAGATGAAATCGCGAAGGGGAGACTTCAACTCAGTTACTGTCCTACAACAGAAATGGCCGCAGACTACCTGACGAAGAAACTGGCGAAGGCGAAATTCGATTACTGCATGCTGCTGACCGGGCAGACAAACATCACCGGATCTGAACACGTCAGCACTCCAGAAACGAAGGGGAGTGTTGAAAATATCTCAAGGACTTAAGCGTTTCTGAAGTGTAGCATCACATTCGAGGAAGATCGTAACGAGTACGTGAGTCAACGGAGGTTACACGAGGGGATGGACAAAGAACACGAAAGGACTCGAAGGGTCGCAACCGGAGGTTGCGACTGACCGTTACAACAGCGCGGATGGTAACCGAAGCGACAATCGAGTTGCTGTGCGACTCGATAACCGCTCCTGCAACTGTATTCTACAACTGCTTTACTTTCCTATTCTCTATATATTGCTGTATGCTTGCTTCCTTAATTAATCACTTGTTCTCATATACCAGTACAAGGGTTCAACTGCCTCAACTTCCGCTGCACTACTCAAGTCTCATTCTACAACTGGGACTTAGTCTCTGGAAAGATCCTAAGGGCTTTTCTCAGCCCAACATACGCTACTCATCAGGTAGGCGCAACTGGGCGGTCACCGCCGTCACCATCTTCATGATCTTGAATGGGCCATAGCAACGTGGTCGTAATTTCGTCGGTAGTAGCAGTCATAAATTCTTGGTGTCCAAAAGGACTAGTTGCCCTGTTGTCATTGTAATATCCCATCGATGTAAATCCGCATACTGTCGGGCAGTAGCGTTCGCCTTGCGAATAAGTTCGACAGCTTTGTCTCGGGCAGTCTGTAATTCTTCGACGAACTGCTGCGATCGTGGTACTTGACTCTCAATGTTGGTGGAGACTGGTACTGTAGGGTCCATCCCGTAATTGAGATAAAACGGGGAGTGATTAGTCGTAGCCAAGGGCGCGTTGTTGTAGGAAAATTCCAACATAGGTAGCACGTCCTCCGATTTTTTTCGGTCGGGGCAGTTTGTTCAAATCAGCTGCTCCATCGTTTGATTCGTCCTTTCAGTCTGGCCGTCCGTTTGGGGATGATAAGCGGATGAGAACTGTAGACGCGTGACGTACCGAGCCCACGTGTCCTGCCAGAATTTTGACGTGAACTTCAGATCTCGATCGCTAATGATTGCTGCTGGTATCCTGTGTAAGCGAACGACGGTCGAGATGAATAGGTGCGTGGTTTCTTCGGCTGTGATGGTTGTACGACATAGTGCGAAATGCGCCATTTTCGTCAATCGGTCGACGACAACCAAAACTGCTTCGTTTCCGCTGGGTCTGGCCGGTAACCCCGTAACGAAATCCATCGTTACGTGTTGCCATGGGCATTGAGGTGGCTCGAGGGGCTGCAACAGTCCGGTAGGTCGCTGGTGTGATGACTTCATTCGCTAGCAGATCGGACACGCGGCCACGTATCGTTGCACGTCCGTCACCATATATGGCCAGTAATAAAACCGCTGCAACGCCTTCAGAGTTTTATCAACCCCAAAATGTCCCGATAAATTCGAATCGTGGACTTCTTGAATTAGTAATTCGCGAAGTAGGCGATAACTTGGGACCCAAATTCGATCTGTTCCGCTTCGTAAGTAATAGACGCCTTTCCGTGTAGTGACTGGGAGATGGCCGTCGTTTACGTAGAAGGGGTCAGTCGAATACCCGTGGGTAAATAGTCCACTCAATAGCGGGTTGCTCTGGGCGACTAGTACTGCTGCGAGTTGGGCGTCGGCAATATTGTTGGCGCCTTTTTTATACGTGATCTTGTACGTGAAATTGGACTCCAGATAGTCCAGCTAGCGTATCTGCCGCGGGTTGAGATTCGGCTGCGCTCTCATGTACTGTAGTGATTTGTGATCGGTTCGCACCGTCGCGTCTGCTCCCGTTAGGTAGCACCTCCAGATTTTGAACGCGTGGACGATCGCCAGCATCTCCTTGTCGTGTACCGGGTAGTTGCGCTCAGCAGATTGCATTTTCCGAGACTCGTACGCAATTGGTTGAAGCCCATTGCTGAAATCCTGCATGAGCACTGCTCCGATGGCGATGTCACTTGCGACGGTGATGACTTCGAAGGGTCGTTCCAGGTCAGCGATGCGAAGTACCGGTGGTGACATTAAAAGATTTTTTAATGCCTCGAACGCAGCTTGCTGCTTCTCCCTCCACTCGTAAAAAGTCCCCTTCTGCAGTAGGTCAGTTAGAGGTCCAGTTAACCCCGCCATGTTAGGTGTAAACCGCTGTACGTAATTCACGAAACCCAGAAATGATTGGAGCTGCTACAGATTTGTTGGTGGTTTCCATTCCTGAATAGCACGGAGTTTTTTCGGGTCTATCCGACTCCCCTCCGTGGAGATCACGTGCCCCAGGAACTCCAAATCTTGTTTTAAAAACTCGCACTTGGGGCGAGACACAGGGTCCCTAGGGAACGTCGCAAGGGGGGCACCTGAGGCGGTCTC